AAGTTAGTTGGATATCTATTACTAGGTTTATATCTATATTTTTCATTCTATTCCATTAGTTTGTATGTCAGTCTTTGTGCCAGTAACACACTATTTTAATGACTATAGCTTACAAAATCAACTTACAGGAGTCAGGCTCAGTTTTTTACACCAATAATGATCTGGCTGAGAAGTCAATAAAACAATCTAATTTGTGACTGCAAAAAAATAATAACATACTTGGGAATAAACTTAATCCAGGGAGCAAAAGATCTACATAGACACTGAAAATGATGGTATCTTTTGTGCATAGTTAATATGGATGGACATATATCTTGTTCCCTGGTTTGGAAGAATTGTGATTAGTTGTCTATACTACCCAAAGGAACCACAGGCTCAGTTTAATCTCCAAAAAATGCCATTGCATTCATTTTCATAGAAACAGAAAATGAAACTTCTAACATTTATCTAGAATCACAGAAGACCCTAAATAGCCAATGTAATCTTGAGAGAGAAAACAAACTTGAAGCCTTACATTTCCTGATTTTGAATTATACTGCAAATTTCAGTTTTTAAAAATGTTCTTGAAGAATATCAATGAGGAATTAGCAAACAAGACTCAGATGAGAGCTGAGTTGAACTCTGATCCTTAACTGCTTACAAAAAGACATAAATTATTAAAACATGGTTCTTCTTAAAAAGAAATTGTTGTCATGTTTTATGTGGGAGTGTTAAGAATTCAATTTCAGGTTCTTGGGGGAACTATGGTCTTATATTTCTAAGTTTTTGATAGAATTTTCACATGATGCATTTGACTTAACAAAGGACCTTTTACTGGATCTTCAATAAAGGATCCTTCTTGTAGAAACATATTCTTGTCCTACTATGGTTTGAATCAATCCTTCTAAAACTGACTCTGATCAATTGTGAGAATCCCAGAAATTGCAAGAGTGAGGCAGAGAGGGTCAGGGACAGATGTTTCTGGAAGAGAACTTGTTTAACCCTTAGGTCATACACACAGGCATCTGTCCACTCTGTGTCCCTTCTGATTATAAGAGCCTGGAAAGCAGTTCCAGTGCTAAGGCCTAGAAAGTACCTAAATGAAACTAGTTGGCCCAACCAACTGTTGTAAAAAGCATTCCTAGTTCTTTTGGGCTTTATAGAGCTTTTAAAACATTTGTTATTGGTGATCTGAAATTTTGTGGATGTCTATCGATTACATGAATGTATCCTTGCATCTTGATGATTAAGTTTCAGGACTTTGTAAACATACATTCCATGTTGACCTAGCATGATTTCCAACTTGAAAAAAGAACCATTCCAGCAGCATGACACAAACACGTCTGTTCACAGACACTGCTTTCAAAACCATAGACTGCTAACATTGGAAAGAGGAAGACTCTTGCTTCATAGCATTGCCAGCATGGCTACTGTAGACCCCTTCTGAGACTGAGAGAATGGGATTCATGCTACAAAAGATGCTCCTTGTTCCAAGAAAAAAAGCTTCCTGCAAGGTGGCTCATAAATTCTTGTTCAGTAGTAGCATCCCAGGTCCCACCACTGGAAAGGTAGACTTAGGGGCTCTGAGAAGGGCTTCATAATTTTTATTACTAGGCTTCATTAAATATTTCCAATTCCCAACACCAGGTGATAGTGAGATTGTGGTCTTTTAACCACCTTTTTTTCCTTTATTTCTTTTTTTGTGTGTTTTAAAACTGTGGATTGAACTGAGAGTCTTGCACAGCAAGTACTCTACCACTTGAGTCACGCTCCCAGCTCTTTTGTCTTATTTTTTGTTGTCTCTGAGATAAAGTGTCACTGACTTTGCTCTAGCTATCTAGCCTCAAACTTACAATCCTCCTGCTTCTGCCAACCCAGTAGCTGGAATTACAGGTGTGTGCTACCGAGGCAGCTTCAAAAGCTTTGAGAAGCTCTGTTTCTATGTACCTGCCAGAATACTTACTTTCTTGTAGGACTTAACACAAGGAAAAATGGAGCTGAAATCTTTTCAACTTTTACTGCCCAAACAGAGAGAACACAGGTCTTATTCTTAGACCTCAGAAAAAGAAAAAGTATACACAAATTGTGAAGGAAAAAAAAGTGTTGAAGAAAAGTAGCAATAGCTGTCAAATGTCATAAAAACACCCAAACACGCAAACAAATGTCATTATCTACCCAAACCCATCGTATTAAGCTGCTTGAGAGGCATTGTCTTGATACCATTTTTCTAGCGTTGCCTGTCAATGCAGTTATTAAACACTCAATTTCTAGCTCATTCCTGCTCTTCTGCTCAATTTGTCACCTGCCTTGAGAGCTATATGACAATCAATTTTGTCCTACTCTTTCCTGCAGCTCCTCACAGGGTAATGAAGTAATCAAAAAAAAATTCAGGATTTTACCTAGAAGCCTATTTCATTTTATATTTTAGATGAGTTTCAGGAAACAGTCTTGTATGGCAGCATGACCTTAATAAATAATTGCTGGGTGGATGAGTGAAAAGTTGGGCTGCTTCTCATTACTGCATATATGAAAAAGGTGTCATATAGATCAAATCCTATTTGCAGTATAGTTAGCAATGAGTGATTTTTAAAAGAAATGTATGGGGAGTGAATGCTTTTGAAAAGTGATGGGGTTTTGTTCCTGTTGCTGTTTGGTTCAGGAGAACAACTATGTCTTAATGTCTCTTCTTAAACCTTTCATTTTAAAATCATTTTAAATCACAAAATAAAAGGCAAAAGTGGATCACAGAGTTCCCTCCCCCCTTCCATTCAGGCATTAACACTTCTGAACCCATGTGAGAAGAAGTTGTAAACGGCCACTTTTCCTGTGCTGTGACAACATACCTGACACAAACAACTTAAAAAGAGGAAAGGTTTATTTTGGCTCATGGTTTTAGAGGTTTCATTCCATGGTTTCTTGGCCTATGCCTTGTATATCGGCGGAGCTACACAGAGGACTGGCCACTCATGGAATCTGGAAGGAGAGAGAGACAGAGACAGAGACAGAGAGACAGAGACAGAGAGGGAGGGACAGAGAAGAGAAGAGAGAGGAAGAGAGAGGAGAGGAAGAGAGAGAGGGAGAAAAGAGAAAAAGGAGGGAGAGAAATAAGAAGAGAGAGGGAGAAAATGAGGAAGGGTTTCCTAATATCTCAAGGACACATCTCCAATGACCTAACTTCCTCCCATGAGACCCCACCTTCTAAAGGGTTACCATTCCCCAATGGTGCCAGGGGCTGGAGATGAAACTTTCCACATTTTCCAGGTCCAAACTAGACTACCCTCTTTACTCTTTTCTACTTCCCTGTACACTTGCTAAAAACAGGAAGCTCCCTGGATGACCAGAGCACAGTCTGTATGTCAAGAAAATAACATCGATCTAACTGGGTCCCTCGGGTCTATAGGGTTTATTGAAATTGCACTGTGTGCCTGCCATTCCTGTCATTTACAGACCGATGTCCCATTCAAGATGACATGCTGCATTCCGTTGTCTTCCCCCTTAGTCTCTCTTTCAACCTAGAGCCATCTTCCATCGTCTGGACATTTCCCCAGAATATAGAGTTTCTCTCTGTTGGCGTCTGTTCGGTGTTTCCTCATGACTTCTGTATTCATGCGTTTTAAGTACTGACAAAGAACGCAGGCGGGGAAAGAAACTGACTTTCAACCTCTGGAACCCCATGGACGTTCCCTTTTAAAAGGCATAGGCATTTCGGTAAACGCAAGTCTCCCTCAACCCCAATGACAGAATAGAATTCAAGAATAAATTCAGAATTTATTTATGAAAACTGCATTTTTATCATCTTTCAATAGCTGTCACAAAGCGTTTCGACCCCACAGGTCAATTTATGCTCACAATGCCTCTTGATCAGTGTCAGCCCCTCCATTACCCTCCCTCCCTCCCTCCCCACCGGTGCCGTCAAGTTACATCTTCATCAGATGGCTCTCATCTGCTTTCCAAACCCTCGAACGTCTGATGTCAAACTCCCCCATGAAAGTGGGTTCGTTCAGGTTTTGCCATTTTCTCTTCAACTTCCTTTCCATTCCCAAGGATATTTGCATGCTTTTTCTCCAAAGCTCTCCCCCCACCCCACCCCACCCCATCCCCGCGCTCCCCAGTCGGGTTTTCAGATAGGAACAATCACAAAGCACTCCAAATCTCCACTGAAACACGACGAGGTTCGAACCGTACCACCGAGGATCATCACTGTGGCCCATTTTTAACCTAGAAGGCGCCAAGCTCACAAAACCGGCGAGGAATTCCAAAAACTGGAACGGAGATCTTGGCATTTCTCAAGTTTCTGAACCTTCCCTGCTTAAAAGGGACCAGAGGAGCTTCCCCCGGCTCCAGCCAGTCTCTCCGTTTCCTCGATGGTGGCCTCTCCAAGTGCAGAGACATCTCCGTATTTCTCTTCCCCGGGCGAATCCCGCCCTGCGCCGCAATCAGGTGAGCCGGGCGGCGGCGCCCTTGGGACGCGCACAGGTGCCTCGACCCCGCCCTGGCCGCCGGGCCCCGCCTTGCCCCGGCGCGGGGCGGAGGACCCAGGTGCCCGCGCCCAGGTGCGCGGGGCCGGCGCCGGGCTGCAGCTCCACTCGGCACCCGACAGCGGGCGCCGCCGCCGCCGCAGCCGCCGCCGCCGCCGCCGCAGCTCGCCGGGCCGCCGAGTGAGCGGAGCGGCTCGGTGAGTTGGGGCAGCTCCTGACGCTCGGCCCTGCTCCGGCAGCCACAGCTCCGCCCGGGTCGGGGTTTCCCCCAGTTCCGGGAAGCCCGCGGGCGCCGTGGGAGCGGACCCACCATCCGGAGGGCGAGGAGCGGTCGCTCGGGCGCGTGGAAAGCCCCAGCCGCGGGGAGCGCACTGGGAGGAGCCCGCCACCCCGAGCGCCGCGCGCCCTGGCCCCATGCGACCCGCCGCGCCTCCCCGCGGGTCCGGGGCTGCGCCCTCGGCTCGCTGAGCGCCGGCGCTCGCTCCACACCCGGGCCACGCGGCCAGCGCAGGCGACACGGCCGCCCGGCAGCGGGGACCCGGACTAGACTCCCCTTCGCTCTTCGGTTCCCGGGGCTTCTCCAAGCTGGACCATGAATCTGGCGCGAGCTTGGCTGTAGGAGCAATTCCGAAGCCGGAGAGAGAGGGCGTCCGGCAGTTCTTCGGTTGCTAAGGTAATTGTAGTTGTGACCAAAAACAATCCCCAGCTAGAGACAAATGGGGGGGATGACCCGAGGCAGCCCCGCACCCCTCTCCTCCTCCCCCCGGGTCTCCCGCCGTTCAGACGTGTCGGTTTCATCTCCCGGGGCTGGGCGCGGGTCGGCTTCTGAGGCGTGACAGGTGCGGTGCGTGCCTGCGGTTGGGACCGCCGCTGGAGGGGAGCTTACGTAAGGGCTTGGGCGAGCTGGCGAGCCGACTTGTGTGGGATGGGCGCAGGTCTGCGCAGGACTCGCTCCCGGCTGCTGGGTGCGAAGCGCGCTCCGCCCGGGACCCCCGAGCCCAGGCGCTTCCAAGCGCTTCCACGGCGCCGGCTGGGCTTGCCGATCGCAGGTACGACTGCGCACCTCAAACGCAAAGAAGTGCCTTCAACTTTTTCTCCGAGGAAGCTGGCGGTTGGCGGTTGGCGGGGGAAGACACGCGAGGCTTGGTGGTGAGGCAGGCGCGGGGTGGCGAGCCTCGGTTGATTTGGGGAGGTGGGGTGCGGGTGCTGCTTAGGAAAGGAAACCCTGAGAATCTCAGATCGGACGGCTGACCGACTGATGGGTGAAGTGTGCAGGCGCTGTCACAGTGACTGGCAGGCTGAGTGGAAAGTCGCCCAGCGAGATCGGGGAAGTGACCCAGAAAATTTAATGTTGTTCAGAATGAGAGCTGCTGTATTTCATTTAACGCAAGAAAAGAAAAAAGAGGGGGCTGATAGAGTGGGAACGTCACTTTCTCTCGTGGAAGACAAGTGGCGTTTTTCTACTGCACAGGGGATTTATTTGAGATCCTCTTATTGACACGGAATTGTCCTCCCTGCATTTGTTATGCTTAGGAGCTGGAAAAACTGAAGCTTGTGATCAATACCTTTGAGCAGGCCCCAGGTCCAACTGCAAAATAAATAAATAAATAATAAACAAACAAATACATAAATAGGATCAGGTGAAATCCAGCAGCAAAACCTTTTCTCTCCCAAGAGAATGAAAAATGGAAGGATAAGAATTGAGTTGAGTGCCCATGTATTTGTAACCCCTCTGTACAGTATTTTCACAATTAAAAAAAAAAAAAAAAGAATTGAGTTGGGAAGGTCATACAAGTGTGTGTGTGTGTGTCTATCCGAAATTGTCAGTGGAAGGAAAATCCTGTGTTTAGTTTCATGTAGACCACTAGGCTCTTGCTGAGTAAAATTACCATTAGATGGGTAATTTTATGGCATCCAAACTAGACTATTGGTGGGAAACTTTCTGTGAGTTGTGTGTTCTTTATTCTTATTCTGAATTTATTGATTTTGCAGTGGGTGTAGGTTTATCTTGTGGAAGAGTGTAGAGGACTAATGGAACCTGGAGACTGGACCGACAGCCTTGTAAGCCAGAGCTTCCGCGATTACACTGGCAATATAAATAAATTCTTTGAGTTCTCTGATACTACTATTTGGATAAATTGTTGTGTAAATATGGTGATCTCAGGTACTATTAACTACTTCAAGACTTCTAGTAAGTCATCTTTGCCAGAAAGACCCCGCAGATTCTAGAAATGTCAACTCTTGGTAAAGGAAACAATGTTTGGTGGAGTTTTTCCCATAATCTTTGGAGTGATCTTTCTGATAAAATTTTTTTTCAATTAACATTCACTGAATTCCTGCTGTAGGGAATTTTGATCAAATAATGCTAGTTTCTCATAGAAGCAATCAAGGCCTTCTCCAATGTAACATTATCCCTGAATCTTTTGTGGCAGAAATATTATTTTCAATGCTACCTGCTTCTGTACTTAGTTTTGATTTGTGGAATAGGATCTCCAGCATAAAGATTTTTAAGTGAGCAAGCTTTTGAGAAAAGACTCCCCCCTCAAAAAAAATTAAAGTACTTTGGAGTATGGAGTTTGCCAATGTTTTATTATCCTGCAGGGAAAATATTTTATGTGAAAGTAGGATCGTTATGTGTCTTCTCATTCTAATCTTTTCCCATGCATTTTATGCTCTGAACTCCTAAGACTTTGCCAGGCATGGCTGAACATTCCGTTTTGTGCCAGGGGTTAAACACCAGGGACCTTTGAGTAAGAAGCTGTGTGTCACATAAACATTTTTTTTTTTTAATTTTTGAAAGGGATGCTCTTCAAAGATCTCAATGCTGGGATTAATTTTTCCTTCAGCCTCACAGCTTGTCTTAATTCTTAGTGCTTTGAACCTAGGAATGCATTTAACCTCTTCAGTATTCAAGGCCAGCTGGAAGGAATGTATTTACTGAATTTCATCTTCATTGTAACATATGGCATGATATAAATAATTACTATACACATACTGTCCAGCTGTATGGAAAGAAATAGAAATATAAAGTAAATCTCTATGTTGAGTGATAGGAATATAACATTTCCAAAATCAGTTTTATGGTTTTTTAAATTATAAAAAGGTAACATTTATTTAGAACAATCCAGAAAAATAAAAAAAAACTCAGAAGGATTATCTATAATCCTCTACAGACAAGTGAGCCTCTATTGACATTTCTTCAATCTACATCCCTCCAGATGTTTATATGAATTACATCTTCATTGTGTTTACCCTTCCCCCAGTCTTCAGATCCTACACATAGAGCTTGAGAAGTGATTGCTGATTTACTAGATGAATTGATAGATCAGACTTCAATTTTAACCTTTGTTATTTTAAAAAAAGTAGGTTCTCTACTTCTTTACTTCCAAAACTAGCATTTGCACTTTGAGATGGTAATGTGGATGGCCTCCCATTAGACTTAGGAAACAAAGTGCCCGAGAAATACCAAAATACTGGCCATTCTGGGTGGGAGAACTGAGTTCTGGTTGCAATTTCTCTATCAACTAGCCATGGGGCCTTGGGCCACCAGGCCTCTGTTTCCTCGAAGGAGAGATGACATATACAGGTTCAGCTCAAACGCCTCTGACTTTAGTGTTGCCTTGACATTTGATGAGGATGATCTTTATTTGAAGAAAGATTATTCAAACAGAGAGCTGGGATTCACCCTGCCTGGAATTGGCCTGAGAATTTACATTTCTAATAAGCCCCTAGGTGAGGCCAACTCCACTGCTCTGGTACCTCATGAAGACTACAAAGTAAGCTTCTGGGCCAAAAACTCTTTTCACTTTTTTTGTTTTTCATCCATCGACCCAGTTCCCAGCAATGTACCTGCCAATAGTTACTCAGGAACCGCTGGCTGCTTCAATCAATATTTGTTCTATCCATGGAGAGAAACGTTCTCAACTAGTCAAGATAGAAGAGAAAAATCATCCTAAATTTGGGACCATGAAATTTGTAATAAGAGTCATCATTAGTCATGAAGCCCAGTTCTTCAAACTGCAAGGAACACCAAAATGCTTGCAATTAAGCAATTAAAAATAAACATTAAGCCTAATGAGTTCCACAGAATGACTAGGAATACCTGCCTGAGACATTATACACCGTGAAGTTTACTACATGCTCCAGAGTACCTCCCTGAGACCTCTGAGCAGCAACACATTTCCTGCCACATACAGTTAACCCTTCATCGCTCTGGGTTCTGCTTCTGCCCACTCAACTCACCATTGAAGTATTTAGAAATAGATTGTGTCTGTACTTGAGTAGCTACAAATAGAGTATCTACAAACATTTACATTGTACTAAGTAAGCTGGAGATGGTTTAACGTGTACGGAAGAATGTTCACAGGTTATATATAAAGACTGTGCCATTTATTTTATTATTTAAGTAGTTGTACAAAGGAGCCGCCATTTTACCAAGCAGTTTGTGAATGCAATGCATCTTGATTGATATCACCCTTTCAACTTCTCACCCAGCCCTCCCAATCCACACCATCCCTCAGTTCTCTTCATTTTGTGGGTTATACATTGAATGCTTGACTGCACTTTCCCCCTTCCTCTCTTCATTGGTCTACCCATCTCCCATTGACCCTACCCTACCCCATTCAAGTCCCTGCTTCCTGGTGTTGGTTTTGTTGAGCTTTGACTTTGACTTTCTAAGGAATTACAGTATTTGAGTTCTCCCTTGAATCTACCATATTTCACTTAATACATTTGTATACACTTGCATACCACCCAACACTTACTTATATGTTTGTAAATGAATTCTAGCTTCGGCATATGAGGGAAAATTAGCAACCCTTGTCTCTCTGGACCTGACTTACCTCACTTAATATAATTTTTTTTCCAGGTCCTTCCATTTCTTTGCAAATGATACAGTATCATTCTTTCTAGTGGATGAGTAAAATTCCATTGTTGTCATCCAGAAAAAAATGGATTGGAGGAAAGATATTCTATAATGTAATGTTATTATATATTAATGTCATAATTATAACATATAATAATGTAATTCTATTATATTCCATAAAAGGACAGAGGAAGTGTGCTAATACTCACCTCATTTACAAAACCAAGAGGTAAAAGAGTCAATGCTATCCCACCCGCCCAAGCTCTCCCACCAAAAGGCACATCAATGTTCATTAGCACCTAGGAAAGAGATCACCATTTTATGATTGAGGAAACTAAAACCCAAAGAGACAAATTAACCAGAATCAGTACCACAGCTAGCAGTAACATCAGAAATCAGACCCAGGCTCGCTTGATCCTGAAGGAACGTATTTTTCACTTCCCTCCCTGGACCCTCTTGGGTGTTGGAAAGTCAGATGTTGGGAATTCCAGTTGGCTGCAGAAGAACTTAGAACTTTCATTCATCTTTGTGTGGCTACTTGTCGAATGGAAAATCAATCCTTTCCTTCTACTTAGGTGCTGGAGACATAGTGTACACCCCTACTTTATGCATGGAACCACTAAAAAGGTGAATGTGAATAAATTAGGTGCACCTTTATCTGTGGCTATTAGAGTTAGTTGTGGCAGAGACTGTCTCAACTTCTCTAAAATGCTTAGGAGAAAACATCGAAGGAGAAATCTGCATATCCGCCCTCCCCAGGAGGCTCTTCTTATCCAAGTGGAGCCCACTACGGTGAGTTCTCCTGGGAG